CGAATCTTGATTCGTCTGAGAACAATACGGTCTTCCAAAAGTTCCAGAGGCTTGGTCATCATATCACTTGCCCACTTCTTTCGTCTGACTATGTTGGCAGGTCTTAATAAGGGCTTCCATCTAGCTGCTCTCCAATGATAACCCAATCTGCAGAGAATCCGTTGAACAGATTTCGGGCTCATCTCACCAACTTTGGCCACTTCTGCAGTCGTTAATCTGGGATAGATTTCGATGCTCCTCTTGACAGCCCTTTTTGTCCTCTCTGATGGACCAGGACGACCCGGACGCTCCTCAGTTGTTTCCTTGCCGTGTTTCCTGAACTGCACGATGATTCTAGTTGACTGTCGAAAGCGGGATTCCCAAATTCTGTGAAATTTGCCGCTGACTTATTCCACCATTTGCTTGACCAACTATCCTTCCTCTAACAAAATCTGACAATTCGAGAGAACCTTGAATTCTAGGCATGTTGTAGCACAAGATAATTAGTGTGCGGACCATTTTCATTAATATAGTGCTCTGTGAACACAAATTAGTTAGCATAAATCAGTTAAGTGACGAAAAATTAGATGTCTATTTACTTGTGACCACTCGGTGTATGTGTTAAAACTGATCAAACATTAAAATCAGAGAAAAAATAATAAATTTTCATCTGAACAAAAAACTTTTTAAAACACAAAAGCATAAATTAGGCGCTTCAACTGATACAAAAACAACAACAAAACAAAAACGATTCCAAAAGCATCACGATACTCTAAGGTGAATAAATTTGAAAATCCGTAAAAAGGAGAAGTTATATACTGTTTAATCCCATAACATTTAACCACACCTATTGCGTCATGTATTTGTATTACTCATCGAAACCCAAATATGTATAAACACAGGAAGGTTTCGGGGAGCACACACAGGAAAGTGGCTGGGATGACTGAGCAAATACGTTACTAGAAAAAAAAAACAAATCAATTGGAGAATTCACTTAAATCAAGCTATTATGAAAGAGGAAATAAAAAAATACAAACTGGGTTATTTGAGGGCCTGTGAAATATAGCGCCTTTTAGAATCCCTTTTCCTGGTTATTTAACCCTAAAATTGTTCTTAGAGTTCACCCTATTATTTTCTTATTTAAACATTTTTACTAAGCTATTTATCCATCATATTTTTCGTGAGTTTGTAACTTTGTTTGGTTACAGACCTTGATATAATATGAGTTACACACGCAAATGTAAAGTAAAATATCAACAATATTCGAATTAAACCCATTTAATTACCGCTAGGGCTTCCTACGTATTTTACATTTTAAAAAAACGTGTGATTTCGCCCGATTGTTTTTTTTTCCTGTACTGAGTGTTGTTGTAGTAGATAAACTAAATTTTATGCAATATACGAACCTACCGGTATAGAAAGGTATAACAACAACTCGGTAATTTAAGAATTAATTTGCTTTTCCGTTTTATTTGTTTTATTTTTTTATTCTTTGCTTGTACACATTTTAATTAAACTTATTTATGTTCAAGAATCTTTCTTATGGCCTAAGAAATGTCTGATTTCACTAGCTTGATTAGTGAGGGATGACAACGTTTGAAATTTAAGAACATGTCATGTGGTAAATTTACTGTCACTAACGTTGTTTTAACCATTATATAATTCCTATCGCAAAAGAGTAAATAAAATGAGTGTACTAAAATTATTTCCTAGATGGAGCCACTAAATCGGTTTCCTGTAATATATCCAAAGGGCGTGCATACCTTATCGCTGTCGCGTTGCAATAAGACCGTATCGCAGTTCAAGTTTTGGAAGGTAAGATAAGTAATTTTTTACTTTATTTTGTTCACTACAAGTATATTAATTGTAAATGTTATAAAATAGTTGTTATGATGCTCCACTTTATTTTAGGCAAATTGATGTTTACATATTCAATCGTGCAAGCTCGACCTTTGAGCCCCAGGCTTGAGTCGTGTGTGTTTACCATTTCCTCTTGCCACCTACCGGTGTTGCGCTGAGTTCGTAATGAAAACGTCGTGTAACCTCTCGCTCACTCCTGCTATACTTCCTTTACCTTCGGCTTTTCTCGGAGGTTAGTTCATTCCTTTGTAACAATCTAAAAGAGACGTTGAAATTTCTTCAGATTTATTTGTTTTAACTTGTAGTAGTGGAAATAATGTTTGGCTTTATTTAAATATTATATAGCTGTCTTATACGTTCAGGATCATCTGGTTTTGTACATAAACGTTTCGTGAAACAGTTTATTTCTTTTTAACTTGTACAGTTTTATTGCAAATTGCTTTCGTACACGTGACCAGTAGAGTCTGGTTTTAATTTTATTCATAAATTTAGACTGCATGGAAATTTTTCATTTTTGAGAGGGCGTTACGTTATCGCGCCGTCTAAGAGCGTGTAGTGTGTCTTAATTCAGCAGATGAAAATGACAGATAACGTGTAAAATATGAAGAACAAACCCATCACAGACAAGTTATATACAAATACGAATACAAAATTCACATAGTCTTGGAGATAGTTTGGTAGATGAACTGTATGCCGGATATTTTCCCTTATCTCTGTTTGGATTGGATTGAGACTGAGCTGGCGGATGTTTGTACGCAACAACGTACATTTAGGTAATCTTGAAATAAGTTCCTTATATTTTCATTCTAATCAAATTGTACTTTTTAATAATAACTTCTATTTAATACTTAGGCTTTTGAAGAAAACCTAACCAGCTAACCCATTGAGACCCTTATAACTTGGTCTTACTTGTTTTGTTTTCGCCGTGTTTTTTGTACCTGTTTTTAGATGTTCTAAACCATGAAAGTTCACAACACTTCATTATTTAGGTTTAGGAATTTAATAAAATCGAATATCCAATGGAAATCAGTTTTACAGATTTTCACGCCAGTTTTGAAACGTGGTATAAGATTGTGGTACAGAATACGAAAATTAAAGTTTATTTTTCTGAATTAAATTGCTCTTTCTCTTTTTCACTTAGTGAAATTTAGATTTTGAAATATCCCAGGTTAAATAGTTTCTTATGGTAATTTCGCAGTTGATTTTTTGAAGTCTTAGGATAATTTTGAAAACTTTTAAAATAATTATTGTATTTAAACATAAGTCATATCGACATTATTAAAACTTTGATTACCTAACGTAATTTACTTTAAGTTTGACAATTACGTAATTTAAGTGTTTTAGAATGTGACGTTGATGATATATAATAACGTTACGGATACTTAATACCTCACTTGGAAATAAATTACCCAGCGGTGGCAATAAGTAACTATAAGTTAAATTTACTCATTATGGGCATATTCCATTAAAAAAATAAGTAGATCGACTTTAACATGGACCTGAACGTTTAGTTCTACATCTTTGTATGTTTAGTTATTATTATTGTCTTCTATTTTACCGAGTATAGATTGCTTACCCAGCTTTTCTCACAGTCCATTAAGCCTGTTTGGAAGTGTACATTACTCGTATATTGTTAAGCACTGTTTTTATAACCAGGTGTTCAGCATTCCGTCAATGTGTGTGAAACTTGGGATTTTTATTTCTCACGTCATTGATAAATTATGTAATGATTTAGGTATAATTCTACGTTTCAGTAAGGTTGGAAGGGAGTATTTTTTCAGCTGAGTTAGAGAGTGGGCAAAGACAGAATTTCATGAGTTTACCATTCCACATTGTCTTTGTCAGATATGAATTAAGGTGTTTACTGGAAAAAGACCATTCCACGAAGACTGTCGGACATGAATTAAGGTGTCTACTAGGCAAAGACAGAATTTCGTGACGTCACTATTACAAAGGAGTTTGTGTCGAATATGAATTAGTGTCTACACAGATTTTCATGACATTTTCAGGATTTTCTTCATATATTTTTCCAAGTGTCCATGACTTTATGTACAGTGTTTTGAAGAATGGGAAGAAAGTCCCACCTTTACTGAAGTAGGGAAATCTGTTCTGTCTATGCAATGAACAACGATCAATGACCACTTTTAATTAATTTTCAGGGCTACAGGAGAATATAATGTAATACAGAATTATTTTTTAACAATTATTAGTAATGATTTCGTTTTTTACAAAACACCAAGCCTAGTTCAATAATGAAAAAACTTCAGTGAAGTATTCTGTTTAGGTACTAATTTTTTTAACGTGTGAAATATCAGAAATTTATAAATACTTGACAAAAAAAGAAGAAAGAAACGTGATTTTTACAGGATTTTCATAGGAGAAAGAGAGAGACACAGAAAACCTGACTTCAAAAATCATGGGAATTGTAAACCAGTAGCCAACATGTGAATACTGTTTCGTATGCTTCATACTTAACTCATCTTGTCAAGAAAATTTCATATTTTATTAGAACATATGATGAAATCACGTGATTTATTTTCGTCAATAACACCCATCACCACGAATTCAAATGAATCCTTTGTGTCCACAAGTTTGTATAATGAAATCATTAAACAGTTTGAGTCATACCAGGACATAGATTTTCAGACATCCAGAAAGCATTATTCTCTTATAACATTAAAATCTTTACCTCCAACAACTTGTTATCAATTTACAGAACCGTGGCCAAAAGTATTCAAAATATTGTTAAATCAACACATTAATAGGTGTCCCTAAACTAGATCTTTTTTTTTTCCTTTCTCCGTTGACATTGGACTAATGCAACGATCTTCACTAAAGGTATGGCCAAAATGTTGGTTCAAAGAACAAAGATTATATTCAGTGTTTAACTGGATTTACCAAGACAGCATAAACTAGCAATGAACACGTACTAATAAAAACGTTGAAAATCGTTTATTCTTACAAAGAAACTAATTTGATTTAACCAATTGTAAAAATTATAGAAGAAATTAAAGGGATTGAATCCCTATTGTGGATTTTTTAGCTCGGGAGGATAATAGTTTAAAAGTTGTTGAGTCTACTATTTGTAATGGGGCTGGAGGGAAGTAATGTAGTTGATTACTTCAATCAAATATCAATTTGCAATGCAACCGATGCAATCTTAAAAATAATTATAATGTTTCTTCCCTTTAGATAAAAATAATCGAAAATAGGTTCAAGACCTCAGATCCGGCAGACATTAAATACTGGATCTATGCAAAGGCACGACGGGTTCTCTCAAGAATATTAAGTCAAAACTGTTTGTTTGTAATTAAGCACAAAGCTACACAATGGGCTATCTGTGCTCTGCCCACGACATATATCGAAACCCGGCTTCTAGTATTGCAAGTCCGCACACATGCGCTGTGCCACTAGGGGGTAAAGTCAAAACTAAAAGTGTGTCTCTAGTAATAAGTAAAGGAGATGGCGGGTAAGTTTAGGGCAATATTCTGCATTTAGACCCGTGTTTCTCAACTTGTGGTGCATGGACCCCTGGGAATCTGGAATTCCATAGGTGTTTGCAACAGTAAAGATAGTTTCCATATTATAATTGAAAATAGAAAACGACATTATATTCAATTAATTGAATGTTTTATTTGAACATTTCTTTAACTTACATGCTTATTTATTTCGTAACTGCTTTACGATCAGCTTCTTAAAGTAGACCAGGGTATGGGGAATAGGTCACGTAATTGTTAATGAAGGGATCGTTAAAGGAAAAAGATTAAGAATTATTGCCTTAAACAGATTGGGTGGAAACTTCTGGATATTCATTCGTGTCTGGTTAACATTTTCCCAATATTAATTATTATAATTTTCGATGTATCGTGTTGAAATGCCAATATCTAACTAAGCTTTTAGATTGAGATCCATTAAGTAAGTTTTTTTTCTTTTTGTATGTAATGTTAGAATAGCATAGAATTGTGTTCGCGCAGTTTGTATGTGCTCTTTCAAAGTGTAATGTTGTCTGGGCAAACATCCTCGCTGGGCCCCTTTCTCTCTCTTTTTGATCTTTTTAAAGAACTTATTAAAAAGATCCTAAATTAGGACAGCAACGAGCTCATAAACAAGTCGAAATCATGGCAGCAACCGTTTTTAGTTCACAGTATAAACATAAAAACGTTTATAAAATAACAAATATTTATTAAATATACAAAATAACAAATATATATTAATGATTACTCAAACTATTATTTCAATTATTCTTAATGTATCAAGCGTCTATATGCAAAAAAAGAGAGCCAAAACTATGTTTTTTATGATAAAATGAAGATGTAGTGTAAAGGGGTTTTGCGGACATTACATTCATTCACCCTTTGCCCCCCCCCGAATGCCTGAATGTTGTATAAGTAGTTTAGAGTCAAAACATAAATGGCCCGGCATGGCCAGGTAGTGAGGTCACTCGACTCGCAATCTGAGAGACGCGGGTTCGAATCCCAGTCACACCAAACATGCTCGCCCTTTCAGCCGTGGGGGCGTTATAACGTGACGGTCAATCCCACTATTCGTTGGTAAAAGAGTAGCCCAAGAGCAGCTCATGTCTGTTCTGATCAACAAGCCTTCTTTCTTCTTTAGGGTCCAGGTCTCAGCTCCGTAGAGGAGCACCGGTGTAATCCAGGTCTTATACACTTTGGCTTTCAGTTCACAAATGACTGTGTCTACTTCCTTCCATTTCTTCCAACCCGCGTGGATTCTATCTCTTGCAGCTTTCTCACTTCCTCCTCCACTTCGGATTACACTTCCTAAGTACCTAAAGTCTCCTACCTTTCCTATTATATCTGTGATCTTAACCTTCTTCTTCCTACATCTTCCACTCACAATGACTACTGTATTTCTGTTAGTCATTTTCAAGCATCTTCTGCCACACTTTAACTTGCGTTTTAACTCCTGCTCACTTTCAGCTTTGAGGACAAGATCATCAGCGAATAACGGTTCCCACAGGGGTTCCTTACACTCAGAACATTGATGACAATGACTAACAGTAAGGGAGCTAATGGTTGACGCTTGGTGCAGCCCAACGTTTACTTCAAAATTTCTGAGGGTTGCTGGTTCTAATCTCCGTCCTACCAAACATACTCGCCCTTTCAGCGTTGGGGTGTTATAAAGTGATGGTCAATCCCACTATTTCTTGGTAAAAGAGTAGCCCAAGAGTTGGCGGTGGGTGGTGATGAATAGCTGCCTTCCCTCTAGTCT